GACTGGAACCCAGGTCCTCTGCAAGAGTAACAAGAGCTCTTAACCATGAGCCATCTCTCCAGCCCCATGGGTGGCTTCACTTTTTAACAACCCACAATATCATGGTAACCCCATCCAACCAATGACAAAGGCACTACTCCCTCCTTACACCTAGTGGCCCCTTCACAGACCACCTCCCAACAATCCTCCCAACGATGGCGATAAGGTTTCCTTATAAGCTTGAGGGCACAAACCATTTTCAACTCATAATACAAAGGCTTCAGACCACACAATGCCATTGTGGAGGAACCGGTGAGTCAGAAAAATGGAAATAGAGACCCCATATTTTCTCCCCTGAGTTGGTCAGGTGAAATTCCTAAGCAATTCTAACTTTAGCCCCTGCCTTCTTCGGCAGAAGAAGCCCACATGAGTAGAATATCCCTTGACACTCAGGTAGGACTTCATATGAAATGTAAGTGCCATGTCCACCTTCACTTGTAACCATCTCATTGCCTTCGAGTCACCAAGCAAACATGGTGTAAACACGAGTTAATTATTAAAAACTAGGTATTGTTGTGGTTAGAATACAATTCCTGTTTATTGTAGGAATCTATTGGCTTAACAGTCAGGCATGGTGTCATTCAAGTTGCCACTCCCAGTTAGGTGGAGTTGAGAAGGGCCCTGTGAGCTGCTGAGTCAGACCAGCCTGGGCAGAATGTGAGACTCTATCTCAAAGACAAAAAGAAGGAAGGAAAGGAGGAGGGTAAAGAAGAAATGAATCTGTAGAAGAGAAATGCATGAAAACAAAGCCAAAAATTCTGCCTAAACCCAAGGAGCTGTGGATTCACTCACTGTTCCAATGTGAGGCTTGCCCTGTGCCTCTGAGCTATTCTCTGCAAGAAGCTCACGTTGTGAGCTGGTTTTACAATTGTTAGATTGTGGTCATTCGCACATGCTGCTTACTAGCATATGGCATGACCTAGTTGGCTGAGAGTGCTCTGTCACACTTTATCCACCAGTCCTCTAGTAGACACTCTTGTAACATGACAAAAAAAAAAAAAAAAAAAAAAAAAAAAAAAAAAAAAAAATAGAGACAAATATTGGGGTTCAAGCTTCAAGCTGAAGATCAGAGAAGCAAAGCAGCCAAGCCAGTAGATCTTACCTCTACCCAGCTGAAATGGCAACCCTGTCTCCAAGAATCCTCAAAGGCAAAAGCTCTCAGTTCCTGTCTCCTCCTTCCTTTTATTCCTTTCTCTGCCCAGTCTTATCCTCCTGTCTCCACCTCCCTAGTGCTGGAATTAAAAGGCATGTGATCCCAGGTGCTGACATCACCTTTGTGTGAGCTGTTTCTTTTAGGACTGAATCGATTTCGTGTAGTCATTGTGGCCTTGAATTTACAAAGATCTGTTTACCTCTTAATTCTGAGTCCTAGGATTAAAGATGTGTGCGTGGCTACTATGGCTAACTAGTATGGCTGCTTTGCTATTTTGATCTCCAGTGGCTTTAACAAATCATGAACAATAAATCACCACACACTCTTGCTGCTTCTAAGCCTTATTTGCCCATATCAGGTCATGATAAACTACCTGGTATGCACATCTTTGAGGTGGAGTATGTCTCCAATGGTTGGATAATCCTGTCTGCACTTGCGCTCTCATTGGACATTGTGTTAAAGATTCAGTTAGGTGTTTCATACAGTGTGCATGTCAGAGGAGAGGATTTAGCATAGTGGATTGGTTTTGTTGTGGTGGGCATTGGAAAGCTTGGAGTTGGGAATCAGAAAAAGGACACTAAAGTAATTCATCTCACTCTGGGGTGGGACAACAGTTAACCTGGTCGATATGATACATTGATAATTTAATGATTTCATAAACTATAGACCTGATTTTAGGTTGAGCTGGGATGATCCTCTGAACAAAGCAGAAGTTACTACTGGCTCTTATGTAAGGTTCTCCTCTGTAAGGGGGTGGGACAGGCTATCTCATTCTTACTTTACAGATGCAGAAGTCAGGAGGGCTCAAGGTCTCAGCTTCCCAGCCATGCAGATGGAATCTTATGCATCCCTGGCTGCATCCTTGTGCTATTGTCTATCCCTGCTGCTACTTCTGTGGTCCTCCTTTACTACAGGGATGACACCACCCCATGCCCTGGCTGGAGTTCTGTGCTTTGTCCATGCAGTTAGAGCCAAGACTAATTCCATCACATGGCTATCCCAAACCAAACATCTGACAGACTGCCCAAGAGGACACCTGTGTCCACTTATTGTTCTCTATGAAGCAAACCTAGCACCAGTCTCAGAGATGCATGAAAGGTCCCTCCCGATGATTATGTCCCTTCTGTGACGTTTCAGTGGACAGTTGCTTAGCAGCGGCTTGAACACCGTAGTGGTCTCTACTATATTACCACACAATGAGCTCACACTGTACTTTTGACGGTTGTAGTTACTCAGAAGCTCTTACTTGGAGGAAGCTGAAGTCTGTTACACTGTAGCTCTGTCATTTCTGATTTCACCTTCCTGAGATAAACAGTTTCGCAGATGCTGGAAGGCAGCTGTCAATCACTCTCCTTCAGCTGGGCTCATATGCTCCTGTAAGCAGCAAGAGTCCCAAATGCAGCTGGTCAGTGGTGGCACATGCCTCTAATCCCAGCTCTCAGGGAGGCAGAGGCAGGAGGATCTCAGTGAGTTCAAGGACAGCCTGGTCTACAGAGTGAGCTCCAGGACAGCCAAAGCTATACAGAGAAACCCTTTCTCAAAGACCCCAAAATGACCAAATACTGTGGCAGAATGGATGAGAAGAGCCCAGATTTATTACTGGGTGTCTTAGTTAGGGTTTTGTTGCTGCGAAGAGACACCATGACCACAACAACTCTTAGAAAAGAAAACATTTCATTGGAGCTGGTTCAGAGGTTTAGTCTATTACTGTGATGGCGGGAAGCATGGCAGCACTCAGGGAGACATGGTGCTGGAGAAGCAGCTGAGAGTTCTACATCTGGATCCACAGGCAGCAGGAAGAGACTCTGACACTCTGGCCAGGCTTGAACATTTGAGGCCTCGAAGCCCACACCCAGTACACACTTCCTCCAACAATGCCACACCTATTAGGAGGCTACACCTCCTAACAGTTCCACTCCTATGGGCCAATGGAGGGCATTTTTATTCAAACCACCACAATGGGCAAAGCATGACAGAAGGAGGCTGCTTGGTGAGGGGTGGGGAGAGAGAGAAGTGGTATATACATATATATTTGGTTTTCTGAAACAGGGCTTCTCTGTGTAGACCTGGCTGTCCTGGAACTGACTCTGTAGACCAGGCTGTCCTTAAACTTAGAGATCTGTCTTCCTGTGTCTCTCCAGTGCTGGCATTAAAAAGGTGTGCACCACCATATCTGGCAAGAGCATATATTTTTAATTTTGAAATTTTTCTTATAGTGTGTGTGTGTGTGTGTGCGTGCGTGCGTGCGTGTGTGTGTATGTGTGTGTAGATCAAGGACAACTTGTGACAGTCAGTTTCACTTTTCAGTGAATTGGGTGCTAAGAGGTGATTCGAGTTTTCAGGAAAGGAGGCAAGTGTTTTTACTCACTGAGCCATCTCACTGGCCCCAAGAGTATATAGAATTTGAAGACAAACCTGACCTCAAGCCCTGACTCAGCCTTTCCTTAGTTGTGACTGTTTATTGGTTCTGTGGTTTCAGTGAGTTGTTCAGGAGGCCGAGGCTCTTCTCTGTTGTATTGTGTGAGTGTCTGGCTGACAGTGGTGTTGACCAGCAAAGGGTTGGAAGTGCTTGCCTAGGTACCATAGTAGGTACTCAAGAAGTGACACCTAGGAAATATGTTGGATAAAAGATGCAAATTTCAGCCAGGCTGTGGTGGTGCAGGCCTTTAAGCCTAGCACTCGGGAAGCAAAGGCAGGTGGATCTCTGTGAGTTCAAGGTCAACCTGGTCTACAGAGTTCCAGGACAGCTAGGACTGTTACACAGAAAAACTCTGTCTTGAAAAAACAAAAGAAAAAGAAGAAAGAAAGAAAGAAAGAAAGAAAGAAAGAAAAGAAAAGCAATTTTCACTTTACACAGAGAGTTATGAAAATGACCCTAACTTCAAAACAGTGACTCTTATCCAAATGTCATCTCATCTCAGAGATCTATGTTAGTTATATAATGGATCTCTCTCTGGGAAACCTTAGTGAATGAAAAAAAAAAAAAAGCAAAACCTCAAACAAAACAAAACCCCAACTAAGATGTATCATATCTGAATCCGGAAGAACTGCTTTAAGGTCTCCTTTGTCCCTTATTCTGTGATCGGCAGTGACTGAACCTTGGCTTCCTTACTCACGAATGTGCTCACAACCTGTAGTCCTGTGCCCATCACGAAGTGACAGTGATTAAAGCAGCAGAATTGATCAGAGATCTGGAAATCAGAGTTACAGACCAGCAGAGCGAGACATGCAGATGCCACTCACGTAAAACCAAAACAGCCACTTGCATCATGACGCCTGTGCAAAACACATTCAATGTAATGTTCAAAAGGAAAGAATGAAAGTGGGGTAAGAGGCATCAATAAATACAGTCAACAGCGGCCAGCAAGAGGATTCAGTGGGTATCGAGCATCTTTACCCGGTTTCATCTCTGGACTCACACAGTGCGAGGAGAAAAATGACTCATGGCAGGCATACACACGCCCCCTTGCTCAGTAAGTAAATTGTAATATAATAAAGTTTTCATAGCTTTAAAAATGCAACATAAAGGGCTTGAACACATTTAGAAATAAGAAATAGTACTCAGCCAGTTTATTCAGAGACGCTGCAGAGATCAAGCAGGTGAAAGTAAAAGTTTGATTTACTCTTTTTGTCAAGAGCACCATGTTGGGCAAAGAACTGATCAGAAATTCCCTCAGCAGGAAGCTGTCACCAGGGTGGCACCCATGAGCTTCTCCCTGGCCTCAGAGTCTGCTGGTAAGGTGACATCACAGACCTTATTCAGGAGACACCACTTGATGGCATAGGCAGAGCCAGACAGACCGCTTCCATGGATCCACAGCAAGCGGTCCCCCTGGGACCTCGGAAGAAGAGGCCCAAGCAGACAGGCACCTCAGTGGCTGCCACGCCTCATGACATCAGATTTCAAGACTTGGTCCTCTTCATTTTGGAGAAGAGAATGGGAACGACTCGAAGAGCCTTCCTCATGGAGCTGGCCCGAAGGAAAGGGTTCAGGGTGGAAAGCGAGCTCAGGTAGGACATCCCTGGCCAGTTTGCAAGCATTCAGGGGCCTTTAGGGCATCTCCAAGGGACCCAAGGAGCCAGTCAGCTAAGGGAGACAAGATGAGTGGAGGCTAAATGAGATTGATAGAAACTAATTGGCCCCAAAAGATATGATTTTTAAAAGTCTGGCTTCTCATGGCCAACTCTGAGATTAATTACCCAGGAGTGATAACCAGAAAAGCAGGCAGAAAACTTCACATTGAAACCACTCGGTCCCGTTCTTTACCAAACTGAGCCAATACCACTGGGTTCAGTTTTTTAGATTGCTGCTCTGGAGCAGGGAGGACCGATCATTTGACGATCTGGCTCTGACTCACACACACACCTTGGCTGTGCTAAGGGCTTACGGTGGGCTAGGCTGAGATGTTTACCACAGGCACCTAAGGGGCCTTGGTGATGGTTTTCCAAGGAATGGTCCAAATAGGCTTTAGGATGAGATGCTGGTTAAAGATGTTTGTCTAGGGGTGACAGATGCCACCACAGAGCGCTGTGGTAAGAGGCAGGGAGGTAGTCAAAGCTGTCATTTAGACCCGACAGAGTCACTGCCAGTAAGCGACAGTTAGCATTGTTTTACTGACCACTCTGTACATTCATTGACTTGAATCAATGAGGAGACTCAAAGTGATTCAGAAGGCCCCAGTAAAGGCCCTGGCATATATGACAGCTGCAGATAGACCTGCTGGGGTTACAGTGGGGAGTGTGAGAGACCCACTCGGTTCCCTGTGTGTGACTGTATAAGCAGTGGGGTGAGAATAATATCATGTCAGAGATGATATGACTTTTGTGTGGTATTTTGAATTTTTTTTAATTTTTTGATTTTTCGAGACAGGGTTTCTCTGTGTAGCTTTGGAGCCTATCCTGGCACTCTGTAGACCAGGCTGGCCTCAAACTCACAGCGATCCACCTGCCTCTGCCTCCCGATTGCTAGGATTAAAGGAGTGCGCCACCAACTCCCAGCCTATTTTGAATTTTAAGTCCTTGAATTTAACAAGAAAATTGTCAAACATTTATTGCTGGTGAAATGTGGGCTTTGAAACATTGCAGAGACACATTTCCAAGGTCAGTAACCAGACATGACAGACTCCACACACCAAACTGAGGATATAAGTCCTTCTTTTGCCAAAATGTCCCCGATCAGAATTTCCTAAGTTTCTGGGGCTGTCTGTTTTCTGAGTTCTTGTCACATGGTCCCCTGTTTTGTTTTGTTTTAAGTCATCACAGCCACTCTCAGTTTTGTTCCGTAACATTCTTTTCACACAAGCCCAATTTCAACTCATTTTTAACTATAACTAATCTGTTAGGCTTACAGTGTTAGCATTAAAAGGGAAAGAAAGTAGATAGATCAAGGAGGAGAACAAAAACCAAAAAAAAATTTGAAGAGAAATTTAAAGACAGAAATAAAAAGTTTTAGCAGATACGAAGCTACTTTTCATGGTAAAGAAACTGAACATGGGCCAGCAAGGAGGGTGAGAGTTGTCCTCCAGGATACCACTTACTGAGAAAGCTCTCTGGTGAAAGTCCAAGCTTCAGGTGAGGCTCACTGGCTGAGTAACCCACGGGGCAAACTGACAGAGGCAAGTGTGTAGGGTGGTGATCAGGAAGCAGGTAACTTTGTTGGCAAAGCGAATCGAAGGGGCAGAGCGGTGCCCCAGGTGCTGGCTGCCAGGACTATGCCAGCTGCTCGGGAGACAGAGGAAACCGGTGCTGTGCCTATGATGGAGCGAAGTCCTCAGGCTGAGAGCACTGACACACTCAACAAATGTGTGCACTATAGAGGGAAATGAACCACAGGAAACAGAAGCCCCGGTGCTAACAGAATTTCTGTGCCCAGATTTCTGTTGGGAGAAACTTCTAGACTGCACCTCCTGGCTCTGACCCTGTCCAGACCTGCAGTTCTGGACAGTCCCCTCTTCTCTCCCTAACCTTGGCATTCAGATCAGTATTCTATCTGATGTGATGCTGAGACCAGACAAAGGATGTCAGTATCCTTTGACAAAGTTCACAGTAGCACTAGTGAAAAGTGCGATTAACTTCATGTTCATTCCTTAGATCCATTGACCTGTACAGCCATGCCTAAAGAATAAGATTGCTTCTCCACAATATGAACTAGGTCAGATGAGAGTAGCGAGCAGGGCAAAAGTAGGAAAGCAGCCCATGAAAACGCTACAAGCAGTCATCTGGTATGGGAAGTTGTATGTTCACATTTCTGTGCCTTCCAATTTTTCCTCTTTACAATAGACATACTTTTTTGTTTGTTTGTTTGTTGAGACAGGGTCTCTCTAGACGCCCTGGCTGTCCTGGAACTCACTCTGAAGATCAGGCTAGCCTCAATCTCACAGAAATCCTCCTGCCACTATCTCCCAAGTGCTGGGATTAAAGGCGTGCACCTCCACACCTGGCCTTAGACATGCATTTTTAAAAACGATGATAGATCATACAGAATTGCTTGGTGGGTAAGTGTGTTTGCTGACAGCCTAAGTTCAATCCCTGTTAGCCACATGGTGGAAGGAAATAAGCAATTCCTGTAAGTCAGCCTCTGACTTCTATATACACACAGTAAATAAATGTGGCTGGAGAAATGGCTTGATGATTAAGAGAGCCAATCCAGGCAGTGGTGGCGCACGCCTTTAATCTCAGCACTCGGGAGGCAGAAGCAGGCGGATCTCTGTGAGTTCGAGGCCAGCCTCGTTTCCAGAGCGAGTGCCAGGATAGGCTCCAAAGAGAAACCCTGTCTGGAAAAACCAGAGAGAGAGAGAGAGAGAGAGAGAGAGAGAGAGAGAGAGAGAGAGATTTTTATTGTATGTGTATCTCCAGAGGACACAGGCTGCTTACCAGCATCTACAGGGCAGCTCTCAACCACCTCCAACTCCAGGCCCAGGAGATCTGATGCCTCCATGTTCATCAGTCACCCAAGTGGTGCACAGACATACATGCAGGCAAAACTTATACATGTTAAAATATAAAATTTAAAAATGTAATAAATTAAAAATAAAAATGAAGATAACAGAAATGGTTATTTTTTTTTAAGAGTGCTTCTAGGGCAGGCAAAATGGCTCAGCAGATGAAATCACTGTGCAAGCCAGACAACCTAAGTTCAACTCTTAAAACCCAGGTAAATAAAGGAGGAAGAAAAGCAACTCTACAGAGGTGATTTCTGACCTCCATATGTGCACCATGTCACGTGTTAACTTGCCTACACACATACAATAATATTAATGATTCATAATAAAAATTAATTAAAGGAAAAAAGGCAAGGGCACTGATTAGCAATGAAGGCTACACTTCTTTCTTGGTTTGTAAAAATCCAAAGCCCAGGGCAGAAAGCATGCTATGCTCTGTTACAGGCTGCAGTGTCTACAGCCCCTGTGTACTTTTGGCTGCCAAGAAGGCCAGTCTTGGTCCTACCTTAGCTGAGATCCTCAATGTATTGAACTCTCTGGAGTGACTCTGTTCTTTCCAACATGAATGTGTTATTTTGAGTGGAATGCTCAGCTATTTTATGTGCCATTTAGGTCCCTAAAACATGAATGAGAAGAGATACCAAGTCCTTTGATGTAGTTTTGAACATCAAAGAAAAGGATACTGAATTTACTCTGCCATTAGCATCCTAGACTTTAGAGCACATTGCTAGCTTCAACTCTCCTAATACAAGCTAAAAAATTGGACCCAAACCTCCTGTTTTCTATGTCCTAATTGCATCCCGAGTTCCCATGGGGTGAACTACTTGAGAACTTTCATCTGGCATCCACCTTTCTCTATAAATACATTTGTTACATTCCTCTCATCATAGTTGAGGCAGAAGGAGCTGTGACCAAAAAGGATGGAATCCCATCTTTCTATTCATCTAGGAGCTTTATGCTTGCCAACGTTGCTCAAGCTGCTGCAAATGCACCAGGGGACAGCATCATCCAGCCAAGTCCTTCACAGCTTGCCTATAATGGAGGGCGCTAATGTGGACATTGTCTTCGCTGAAAGCAAGAAGCATCCTCACATCATAATTAAAGACTATGAGTGCCAGCTCTGTACAATATTTGTAGAGCTAGGGAAAAACAAAATAGTAGAAGATATGAGTCTAGCCAGCAAAGAGTTTACAGTGAGATAGGGGAGTCAGGAATTATATCTTGATTGCCATTATCTTAGTTTCCTTTCTAAAAAAAGATTTATTTTTGACTTCATGTGTATCAGTCAGTGTTTTGCCTATATGTATGTGAACCACATGGGTGCATGCCTTCATTACAGAAGAGGGTTCTGGGTGCTCTGGGACTGGCTCTCCAGATGGTTGTCAGTCACGTCACATGTCAGCTCTGGGAACCCAACTTGGAACCTCTGCAAGAGCAGCAAGAGCTCTTAACCACTGAGCCAACTCTCCAACCCCTTGGTTTCTTTTCTGTTGTGATAAAATACCCTGTCAATAGCAACTTGAGGAAGAAAGGGTTTAGAAGCCACACTTTACAAGGAGGTCACAGCACCAGGAGCTTGAGGGAACTGGTCTCCTCACACACAACCAGTTACAGAGAGCAGTGAATGCCTTATGCACGTGATCATCGTTCTCTTGTGACTGCAGATATAATGTGACTGAAAACTGGCTTTAACCTCCACAGCTCATTCCTTCCAGACAGCTTGTGCTGGGTGAAGATTTTCTAACCTGTCTGCCTTTACTCTCCATCTGTTCACTGTTTGACCTTTGTAGTGATAACCCACCACCCACCCACACATTCACTATCTCAGAGCTATTGCCTTCAGAGCCTGTGGGGGATCTCATGGTAATAAAACCCCACATTTCCACATGAAAATTGGTGGAGACTCATTAATTATACATTGTGTAGGGGGTGGGGCTCGGGAAGAAGAGTGAGGAGCCAACAAAGCACAAATAAAGGAGCAGTAAGCTAAACACAGGTCAGACATGACTACATCAAAACTCTTTGTGAAATCCATAGAGATAGGTACTATAGATTGTCTGAGAAAAACAA